CGGAGGACCGACGGCGACGCGCTGGGGGGCGTCGCGTCCGGGCCCGGCTGCCATCGCCGCCGTCACTTCCAGCACACGATGATGTTGGGGTCGTTCTCCAGGCGCTCATCCAGCTCCTTGTAGCTCATGCCTGGGGAGGGGGCAGGCAGCTGGGTGTTAGTGGGTGCCTGGTGGCACTGCTGGGCTCCCCAACCCTCCCCTCGGCAGCCCAGCTCCTAGCCCAGAGTCCCCCCTTGCCACAGTCTGAAGGCTCCCCAAAGGGTGACCCCGAAAGCAGCGTGGGGGCCAGCCCTTGGCTTCCTACCGTCCCCCGAGGAGCCCAGATCCTCACCGGTCTTGCAGCAGATCTCATCGTAGCTGTGGCAGCCTGTGTACAGCCGGGCTGGGTGGCTCCGCTCATCTTGCGTCACCTTGACGGGGTATTTCTGGAGCCGTCGGATAAGGCCCTTCATCAGCCCAAACTGGATAAGCCTCCTGGGGACCGGGAGGGAGCAGACTGGAACCACAATGCTGAGGTGTCAAATGTCCCAGCTCCCTGCATTCCTTCTGGTTCCACCATACCACTGCTCTAGGGAAAGGGGCTGTCACAAGCCTTCACCCTCCATTGTTCCCATGCCCTTTGTCTGTATGAGTCCATCTCTGGACTGTCTTCCCAATCCAGTACTCCCAAGTTTCCCCTTTCCTGATCAAGCCCTGGAAAAGGCTGCCTGGGGCAGCAGTGGAGTCACCCTTCCTGGAGGGACTTAAAAGTCATGTAGATGTGCTGCTGAGGGTTTAGTGCTTAGGGACATGACTTGGCAGTGCTGGGTTAACGGCTGGACTTGACGATCTTAAGGGTCTTTTCCAACCTAAATCATTCTGTGATCCTGTATTTTCCCACCTACAGACGCAGGGGTTGGGTACTCCCTCCTTGCTCCCCCTGCAATCCCTGGTGTCACCCCTCCCCTTGGGGACCAAGCAGGAAGGTGCTGGCTCTAACCTCTCATCCACCCTCTGGAGCTGCAGGGTGTAGCGGGAGATGAGGTCCCGCACTGTCGTGCCAGGGCTCAGCCCACAGTACAGCTGGAAGACGTCCCTGAGGCTGGCTCGCTTGTGCCCTGCGGGGACAAGTCACCAGTCAGCTACCCTCTCCCTCCATCTCCACCAGCAGTCCAGCGCAGCGTCACCGTACCTGGTTTGGTGACGTAGGACAAACACTCTTCCTGGAGATACTTGTCATCCACCAGGTCCTGGACCTTTGGTGTGGTGCAGTAGACATTGGAATACTGTGGGACATGGGAAAATCAGCTCTGCTCAGCCACAGCTCTGAGAGACAGACCCGGCCCACACTGAACCCCATCGTCCCGATGGTGTGACCACTGCCTAAATCCTGCTTGTGGCTCCACGTTCCGTGGCCTGACCCACCTGGAGTATGGAGACGAGCGTGACAACCCCGTAGTACCTGCAGACAGAGAGGGAAACGTGAGAGACTCTGCCAGCACCTAGCACCCCAGCCAGGCCCCCTCCACACACTCACAGCAGGTTTTGCACAGCAATGCGCACCAAGTTCAGCTCCACGTCAGCCTCTGCAGAAATCTTCTGGACGTGCCGAAAGCCATCAATATAGGGCAGGATCTAGGATGGGAGGAAGCAAGAGCTAAGAAGGGAGAGAGCAGAGACAGCCAAGGCATCCCCTGAAGCCCACCAAACTCCCTGACGTCTGTTGGCCTCCCACTGTCAGCCTCTGATCCCCTTTTGGCCTCTACATTTTGCTCAGCCTCCCACCTGTTGGCCTCCCATCCCCTTTTGCTGTCTATATTTCTGCTCAGCCTGCCACACCCTCTTGGCCTCTATCCCCCTTTTTGGCATCTATGCTTCTGCTCAGCCTCTCACCTTATTTGATGTCTATGTTTCCACTCAGTTTCCCACCTCATGCTGGCCTCCCACCTCCTTTTGACTATTACATTTCCGCTCAGCCTGCCACCCCCTGTTGGCCATCCACGCCATCCATGTGAGTGTCCCACCCCCTTCTGGCGTCTTGCTTTCTGCTCATCAGGCCGCCACCTGTTGGTCTTCCACCCCCTGTGAGCCTCCTATCCCCTTTTCGATTGTACCTTTCTGCTCACCCTCCCAGCCCCCATTGGCCTCCTGCTTTCTTTTGATGTCTACATTTCTGCTTAGCCTGCCACTCCCTGTTGGTCTTACACCCAATGTGATTGTCCCACCCACTTTGGCCTCTATTTTTACACTCTGCATCCCACTCCCTGTTGGTCTCCCACCCCGTTTTAGAGTCTACATTTCCAGTTCACCTGACAATACCTGTTGGAATCCCACCCCCTTTTGGCATCTTCCTTTCTGCTCAGCCTCTGACCCACTGTAGGTCTCTAACCCCCTTTTAATGTCTACGTTTCTGCTCAGCCTGCTACCCCATGTTGGCCTCCCAACCCATGTCAGTGTGCCACCCTCTTTTGGCCTCTTCCTTTCCAGTCAAACTGCCATCCCCTGTTGGCCTCCCACCCCATGTGACTGTCCCAACCACTTTTGGCTTCTACTTTTCCCTTTAACCTCCCACTCCCTGCTGGCCTCCTACCCCCTACTGATGTCTACGCTTCCGCTCAGCCTGCCACCTCCTGTTGGTCTCCCACCCCCTGTGAGGCTCCCATCCCCTTTTGGACTGTACCTCTCCGCTCAGCCTCCCAACGCCTGCTGGCTCCCCAGCTCCTTTTGATGCCTACGTTTCCGCTCAGCCTGACACCTGCTGTTGGTCTCCAACCGCATGTGAGTGTCCCACCCCCTTTTGGCCTCTCCTATTACACTCAGCCTCCCACCCTTTTGGCATCTACCTTTCTGCTCTGTCCCCAGCCCCTGTTGGCCTCCCACCCCATGTTAGTGTCTCACCTCCTTTTAGCCTCTACTTTTCACTCAGCCTCCCACCCTCTCTTGGCCTCCCACTGCCTATTGATGTCTAAGTTTCCACTCAGGCTGACACCTCCTGTTGGTCTCCAACCCCACATGAGTGTCCCACCCCCTTTTGGACTTCACCATTATGCTCGGCCTCCTACATCCTGTTGGACTCCCACCCCTTTTGCTGTCTACGTTTCCGCTCAGCCTGCCACAACCTGTTGGCCTCACACCCCATGTCAGTTGTCCACCCTTTTTTGGCCTCTACCAACAACGGGTGATCATTAATGTATGGGTTTCTGGGATAGCCTGAGTCTCTTCTGCCCCCGGCCAGGCTGGGAACAGATCCTGTTTGAAGCACACCATTCCCAGCTCAAGCACACAGACCTGCTGAGTGGTGAGATCCCACTGGGAGTTGAAGAAGTCATCCTTGTCTTGGGTGAAGACAGGGACATCGTACTCCTGCACAATGGGAGGGTCCGGGCGCTGCTCAATCACCTTCAGGTGGATGGTGTTTGACTCATCTGGCCGGTGAAAGAGGAGCACTTAGTCCCTACAGAAACCCGCATTCCCTCAGCAGCTCAAGACCGCCAGCCCCAGCACACCACCATGCTGCACACAGGAAGGTGTTTGTGGCCCAGAGCCCCAGGACTCCTGTCCCTCTGAGCCAACCAGGGCAAGGCAGGCTCAGATGTGCCCCAGCTGCCAGCGCAGGCAGGGAGGGAGCTGTCAGGAGCAGTGTGGACGGGGGCTGCTGTACCTATGGGCAGGGTGCACCTCCCTTTGGCATTCAGCTCCTCCAGCAGGATCGTCATAATGGGAACCAGCTTCTGTTTACTCTCCTCATTGGAGATAAAGCCGCTTTCCAGCTAAAGAGAGCAGAAAATCGAGCCAGCTCCTCCGCACAGGATTATCAGCTATAGGAACTGCACATCTCACATCTCGTCCTCCCTTAAACTTCAAGCGACTCCTCCGTGCTGACCCCTACCCCCGCAGTGCCCGCTGACCCACGGAGCACACCAGGATGGTGGTGACCCTGGGGGCCCTCCGCGCGGGCCTCACCTCCAGTGTGGTGAGGTAGCCAGCCAGCTTCTTCACTATGGGCTCCAGCGCACAGGCCTTGGCTTGGGCGTCGCACACAAAGCCCAGGTTGAAGAGCAGAGCATTTCGGCTATACTTCTTGTGCTCGATACACACGGGGCAACCGATCAGCTTCTTCTCCATGGCTGTCCTGTGGAAGACACATCCACCCTAGGCCCCCTGTGAGACCTGAGCCCTTACAGGCTGGCTCACAGTCAGCTCTAGAGGTGGGGACTCCTCTGCTTTGCAAAAACGATGTCTAGTCTCTGAACTACTCAGAGTGCAAAATGCTGTCTGAAAAAGGGAAGAAAAAGACTCAACCATGCGAGAAGAAAACAGCCTCCTTCCAAAACCTGCACAACTCTCGGGACTCATTTGACTTCTCTGGGCTGACAAAGAAGCACACGCAGCACCAGCCACCCCCGGCACC